CCTTTTGGAACCTGATATATATATATATATAGGCCACGAATTCCACTTATTAATGTAAAAATTAAGTCTAGCTCTAGCAAATATTACTGAGGTAATAATAAAATACCTGAGATAGCCAATGGAGGCTAGTGGAAGAGTGCACAAAATGGAGGCTCTTACTGGGGAAAAGCCTGTGATAGAAAGAACCAGGGACCCCTGAGAAAAAGCATGGTCCACTACCACTCCCTAGCTCTTTCTTGAGTTTCTCCTGGAAACCAGCAAGGGAGGTAAAAACTGAATTGAAGTCATTCCCTGGAAGGTCACTCAAGAGGACTTGATAATCCGGCGATTGACAGCCCAGCTCTTGGCGCATCTTGTCCACTACTTTTATGAGTTCAGAGACAACATATAGGGTATTAGGTCCTGAAGAGCAACCTAAGTCTGCCATTGCCAAGGTTGTCGGGAATGTGCTGTAGTAGTTGATCAGTTTGGTTATGGCTTCCACCCAGATTGGTTTTGCCATGCGGATTATGTTCAGCTGTCCAAATCAACGAGTGTTCATTTAGAATGACTTTTGTTTTCTATTTTATATCTCCGGAGCTCCCAGTTCAATATATAAATAAAAGTGTGACTCAAAAATAAGTGAAAATTGAATTTGATTCATGCATGAACTAGTGTATTTGCATGACTGATTAATTACCTGAATAAATGAGTTTTCAGCATAACTGGTTTCCCCTACTCCTCCTTTCATGTGGAATGCTTGAAATACTTCCATCTTTGTGTCTCTTTTCCCCCTCGCTTTGGGTTCAACGCACAAATAATGTTATATTCTTGCTCTATATATAGATGTTAATCTCTTCTCCTCTGACTCATCAATCACCCAACTCTTCGCCACACAAATTAATTAAGGTATCGTTGGAAACTTGGAATTAATTGTTTCCATAGTTTGCATGTACGTAAGATGGTATTTACACTGTTTTCACAATGAAAACCTACATAAAGCAAGGTGTAACTTTAATTGGTTTTATATCTATATATATTTGTTTTGATGAGAAATAAAATTTCATTAATATATGAAGACTGTTAAGATTATAGAATCAATCTAAATGAGTAAAATGTAATAAGTATTATACTCAAAATGTATGAAAATACAAAATTAAATAACCTAATATTTATATAAATATTGTAACACCAAACTAGAGCTTGAGATTTAACAATTAAATCATATTTTAACTTAATTTATCTAAAAATAAATAAATTAATTTAAATAAAAAAATTTAGTTAGCGACTTCATCCCCACCCATATTTTCAACAATTGAAGCCAGCACAATAATTAATTGAACCATATTTTCAACAACCCATCGTCCTATCATCGTGTATATTACTCACACAGTTTACTTTAATTAACCAGTGCGCTGACATTGTCCATGTACGTTTAACATGCTTTTACTTTTGTTATCTTTTACAACCGGGTAGGTGAACCAAATAACTTACATTATGGTAAAAGAAGTCTTTCTGGGCCCCTAATGTTAGGCTTTTTTATCTTATTTAGTAGTTTCTGATGTATTATTCTCGGTTATAGTTTAGATTATAACATAAAAAATAAAAGTCATATGATTATAATATTATAAATTTATAATATAATATATTTTTATTTAATTAATTTTTAAAAAAACCTTATATATAATATTATATATTTATTTAATATTATATTTAATTTATTTAATATTATATTATAATTATAAATTTATAATTTTACGTAATATTATAATTATAGTATTACTAAACAAAATTTTTTTATATAATTATCATAAAACTTAAGTTTTTAAAACATATATTAGCTGAATGAAAACAATTCAACTGTAGTAAGAAAACTCATTATATATTTAACTTTAAATATTTAAAATGAAAGGACAATTTACATCATATCAAGGTTTAGGTTCAGTATATATATTATATTAACATGTTAGTATAGTACAAATTATTGTTTAAAATTTGCTTAAAACTTTTATTGTGATTAATATTTTTAAAATTAATTATTTAATTAAATATTCTATTACTATAAATTATATATATCA